TGTCCCCTCTTCACATTTAGTATCCACACCAAGCGTGTATTAATATGCACAGAAGTGATTTCATCCATGTCGTTTCTTTACTCATCATGTTTTGCAACTTATAAAAAAAACTTTTTATATCTTGTGAATATTTAAGAATAAAATTATTTCTGTATGTAGAGAGAAGAGCATGGAGGAAACACTATTTACTTATGTAGGAAAAGTGCCTGGAAGTTGTGGGCTCCACTTCAGATTAAACTTCTACAATGATGAGTAAAGAAAATGGGAAAATACATACATTTTGAAGTCCAGCTGGTGAATAAGTTGTGGTGACAGTCACAACTGGATTAATGTTGATCTCTTTTGCATGTTGTAGGTGTTTATTCAGAGCAGTGCATTGGAAGCATTCTTGTTTTAGACTAAAGAAATTAGCTTCTTGATATGTAATAGCTGCAGAGCAACTTGGGAAACTGGTGATAGATCACAGATGACACAAGGGTGAGGCAGCACAGCCCATAGGGATTATGACATATTGCTGTGAATATTCAAAGCTGCTCTTTCTAAAATAGCAGACTGCTGCTGTACCTAGAAAAGTCAGGAAGGATAACTTTAGTTTTGAGAAATACTGATCTGAGAGGGCATTAAGAATTATTTAAAGCTTATTAATTTATTGAGCTGTAAGAATGTCTGAACCAAAAAAAGAGCAGGAAAAGCATTTCAGCCTCCAGCCTCTCCTCCTTTAGTATGAATTTGGTATGTGTCTCTGATCCACCTTTGAGAAATGAGGGGCGTTTAGCTGCTTCTGAACAAGATCATAGACCTGAATATCAGAGCAAATAATCAGTAACTTGATTCCCAGTGCAGCTGATCCTTAAATGACCGGTCTGTGTACAATATAAAAGGAGTCATTTATGACACAAGAAACCTTAATTGACTTTGACTTGTGTTCCAAGATCCCTTTTTTTATCAATCCAGTAAACCGTACTTGACTAGAATGGGCTTTCCAAAGTAACTTATTTCTTCAATAGGAGCATTCATTAAAAAGGGATTAAAAAAATATGTATCTCTCTTTCTTAAATATTTTTGTCCACATCATCCATGTTATAAGCTACGCCCTTATGGCAAGGCAAGGGATTTTATAAGCCAGAATTTTGAAAGCATGTGGAGTAGTCTGTGGGGAAGGAGCAGGAGATAGTTGCCTATTTTAAAGTTTCTGTGGTCTGACTTCCATTACTAGGGTTCCTGCTGAGGTCTGTTGAGAGCTTCTGCACAGCCAGAAATTACTCTGCAAGATGCTGAGCTGCTCAGCATAACATCCTCTCAAAATCCATCAGAAAATGTGAAACTGTATCTGTAGAAAACAGTCTTCATCTATATCCTCCTTATTCTCTTACTGATGGCAATTCTGAAGCCTTTTGTTGGGGCTCAGTATCACAGACATATAATTTAAATATGATTTTAAACATGTCTGTATTGCCCATTAATTTATGACTGAAATATTGACTGTGGCATATGAAAATTAAGAACTTTCACTGAACTGTATGTCTGGCAAGGAATCTTTAATGTCTTTGTGTAAAGCACAAAGGATTTGGAAAAATAAGACTAGCTCCCAAGCCAGACTTTCTCCTAATCTAATCTCCTCTAAAAATCTTCTGAAAGGCAATAGCATTTTATGAAATTGAAGATGAAATGGAGAACCTTGTGTCAACAATGCTTTTGGTAACTGGACTTTTTAAATGCCTGCTTTGACCAAGTGCTTTTAGGAGCAGAGAAACTTACTTTCCAAATTTAATAATCCAATATGAACAGTACAGATTTTTTGACATTAAAAACACTGTGACAACAAATAAAATTAGAAATTATCCAACAAATTATTATGTTATTTAACTGTAATCCATAAGTGAAGGATATTTTTTGAGTATGCTGCTTGTAGCTGAATTTCATAAGAAATTCGAACAAGTGTATCAAGCACATTTATCTTTTAATACCTAGAAATGTACTGTTCTTCACAACTATGATAAAAATTTTTGGTTTAACTCAGCTGCAGTGGTCCTAGTAAAAACAGAAAAATACTTCGAGTTTTTGTTGTGGAAGTGTAAGAGGCCCTAGAAAAAGTAGCAATACCAACTCAAATATCTATGCATTAAAAAAAATAAAAAGAAGATGCCACAGGGAGAAAAGCAGTCTTGAGGTAACCCTAGAAATGCCATGATTTAGGATAATTCTGTCCTGGGCATTGCAAAAATGTTACGCTAACCTAAATTTGTGAATTAATTACTTGTGGGAAATTGCTTTATTTCAGGTTATAATTGTCACTGTTTCTGTAGGCATAGAGTATATAAAACTCAGTTGTGCTCTTTTCATACAGAGGAAAAGATGATCTTCATTCTTAAACTTTTTTTTCTTTTTGTTTTATGCAGAGAATAGTGTCTCTTTTCAATACAGAAAGCCTGAAATTTCACTATCCTGCTGTATCTTTATATTCACACAACTTTGAATATTTCCTTTCAAATAATTTCCTCCAGTAATTTCCAAAGGTTGTGCAGTATGAAATTGCCATTTGATGTGATAAAGCTGTAAGAAATATCACAAATTAATGGTTTGAATAACCAAAGTAGTAAACCTGTAGTGGTTTTAAAGCACTACCTAAAACATCACTAGAGAACTTACTTTCTTGCTGTGAGATACAGACAAGGAGAAGGGCAAAACAGGCTCAAAACTTAAAAGGAATAAAGAAAGTTTATTAACAAAACTACAAGAATAAGAAACCAGAATAAAACCTCCAGAAACCCTTCTTCAAAACCACCCAACCATTCTTTTGTTTAACTGACAACATAGAGACAAAATTTGGTGGTTAAAGCAGTCCCAACTTTTCTATAGTCTCTTCATCAGTCTTTGCAGAGAAAAGGAGTCTTTTGTCATTCCATTGAAACTATCATGGTACCAAAATTCTGTTCTTTCCAACCAAAATATAAACCCTTGAGTATCCATAAGTCATCATCTGACTAGTCATGAGCTGCTTTAGTTGAAGTCTTCACGGTTTTACTTTTTGAAAGCTTAATAAAATAAAATGAAATTTTATTTAATTAATTTTATTTATTTATTTAATTTTAACTTTTAAAACATAAAATCCTAATCTGAATTTAAAAATGGGTTAGAAATACTCATACTCTCCCCATACCCTTTCCACTAAGGCTTTTTGCCTTAGCCAGCTATTACTTACAGCATTTCTTTGGAACTAGGATTTCTCTCTAGTTAATTCAGGTGAATGAATCAGACTTCATTACTCATCTTTTATTATGGATTGTATAAAAACCCCCAAAACAAAAACAAAACAAAAACAAAACAAAAATAAAACCCCAAAGACTCTAATGATTTATTTACATTATCTATTTAAGTTGTGGTGGTATTCAGTTTTTCTAAATACAGATAATTGTAGAGAGAAGGGGGGAAAAAGGGACAATGTGTACCTGCCTATTATTCATGGACAGGATACTTTGATCAAATTTCTTCACTATTCTGTTGTGCATCAAGCCTTATTTGACAGTAATTAAACATATTCCAGAATTGATATGTTTTTTAAAAATCATTAAGCTGTTCATCTTTGTATTTATGAAAGATTTACTATACAGTATGTGGGGATAAAATCAAAATTAGTAAAATCAGGTTTTTTTGAGAGACAAGGCTTGGTTGTAAGCTGAACAGCATAAACATGCTTGACCGTAGCTTTAAACTGTGTTCTCTATGGTCTTATGGAAAAGTGGGAGTTCACTAGGTTGCTTGTCTGTATTGGGAATTTGATCTCACGGGGCTTGAAGTAAACATCTTTTTCAGCTTTAGGCACAGTGAAGCCTTTGTCAGTCCTACATATGCACATTTATATATAATTCATATGAAATTAATGAGAAATCACAGAAACTATACTCATACTTGGATACACTGGTTGACCAGAGGGTCTTGTCTGGGCACGATCAAATACAGAGGGGATTTCCTCCTCATTGGGAAGGTGAGGGCAGGAAGAAACTGTAAGAGCAATTAAGCCACACCTATTCAGATCTGTTCAGCTGAATCATTCAAAACACAGTCAGCTGATGCTGTTGCAGGGAAAAGTACCAGTTCCTGGTTTTATCTGTTGGTCAAAGTTTAAGAATAGTCTGTTCTTCAGCCTTTGTGAAAAAAAAAAAAAGAAAACAGATTTCAGAACAGCAATGCAGAGTAAAATGCTACAAGTACTATGATAAAGTAAATGAAGCTCTCTTGAAGTCATAGTTTTGACGATAGTTTGGAAGCTGTTTAAGCTGAAAATTTAAAATGTAGTTTCCTGTTTGCAGTTGAACCATCCTTCAAGCAAGTATTTTGTAAAATATTTAAATAACAAGTAAGCATGAAAACAGTTCAAGTCAACTGCTTTGAACATTTAACTACCTTTGTTGCTATTTTCACCACTTAGTGCCTTCTCCTTGTATGTACATGTGTAGGTAGATACTTACATATGTATGTATGTACGTTAAATGTAATTTCTTACTATCTTCCTAAAAATGGAGTCTAGGTAAGATATTTTGCAGCAATTTAGTCTTTAAAAATCTGTGATGTAGTTTTGGTTTTCATTTTTTCACTTTCTGAACTTTTTCAGTGTGACACATCACCTGCATCAATATTACTGGTTTGCATCAGAATTGCTCCAAGATACAAATGATACCAAAAAAAGGGAAAACCTACTAATTTTTGCTATATAGTAACTATATATACAGTCATGAATATACTGTTCTACAAAGAGTAGCTGAAGCTCCATGCAGTGGTGTCTTCAGTTTGCTGGATAACCAAAACCATCTTCATTTGTATAGAATGAGAAATATTGTTGTTTGCACAGTCAATTTTTGTAATCGCAATTTTGTAAACCGCAATTTTGTAATCAATTTTCTAATCGCATCTGAAGTGGTTATGTTGGAGGAAATTTTAGTTCTGTATAAGATCATGAGCTATATATCTCTTTGATAAATTACTTTGTATTTACCTCTCAGGTTGATACAAGAGGATGTGGGAATGGACATCCCCTTAGCTGAGGGTGTACTGAGTCCCAGTTCTACAGAGATGAGACCTGGTGAGAGACGGTCTTGTTCATTTTCTTAATTGTATCTTATTCCTGTGGCATTTAATTATGCAGTGAGAATGATCTCTGTGCTGGTAAAGAATCAGTTCAGTGTTAAAAAGAAAAAAGTATTGAGTTTGCTTTATTTAGTAAATTTTCTTCTTCACTTAATAAATTATAGCTACAATGTGACATTTTCTCTTTAGCATTCTTACCATGTGTTCAGTCTTGTAAAGTTTTAGTAGTTTGTATTATTTATTTTGTAATTGACTTCTGTCTAAGTGAACTAAGTTAGACAGAACAACTTGAAATGTGCCATACAAGGTACAGGCAAGGAACAAAGGTATATCTAGCTCTTGTCTTGTTGAACAGTGCTTCTTTTTAAGACTGATTAAGAAACTCCGAGATTTTTTTTTTTATTATATTAAGATGCTATGTAGTTAAAGCTAAAAAAGTAAGTATTTGTAAATCAGCATTGAGTGCATAAGGAAATAAATATTTACAATGGCTTTTAACTCATTTTTCTCAGGACTTGGTAATGTCTTGATTCATAACTCAAATGATTTGTACTTGCCCTTTAAATTCTTAAATATTGTGGGTCAGAGCATGTTCAAAACCTGATTTTTGTCTGATAATTGCAAAATAGTGAATCTGGATTTAACATAATTTAAGAGCTCTGAGCTATGTTTGCTGCTCCTGTAGATTTTTTGTTTCATTTAATTGAATATTAATGCTAATATTTGTGTTTTGTGTTACATGGTCTTAAATGACATGGTATTACTAGAATTGAACTAGTTGCAGTGTGTGTAAAGGTAGGTTTTGTGTACCTGGGAGATGAATTCTATATGGAGTAGATTAAATTCTTTATCTCTTTTTTTTTGTTTTTTCCTTTTTATTCAGAACCTCCCAATTCTCTTGATCTTAACGGTTCCCAACCCAGAAGGATAAAGCTCACTGCTCCAAACATAAATCTCTCATTGGACCAGAGTGAAGGATCTATACTGTCTGATGATAATTTGGATACACCTGATGAAATTGACATTAATGTAGATGACCTTGACACTCCTGATGAAGCGGACTCTTTTGAATACACTGGACAAGGTAGTATTCTAAATTGTAAATGTAGAGTTCATCTCTGTTTCTTTTTTCCTACTTGCATGTTTCATGTCTCAGTTTCATGTCTTTTAGATTTTAAGTATGGTTCAAGTATTTGAGAGTTAATGCTAGGCATCCAGGTATTTTTACTGTCTGTTATTTTTTAACCTTTATTCCTCCTGTGTAAAGTATTATCCTCCTATTTATTCAGAATGCAGAAAGAAAGAGTACAGCTGAATTAATAAAGGAAGAGCAGCTACCTGGGGAGAATGAAATTCAAAGTCCTGTCTTTGTCCAGTACCACAGGACTTGTCTGAAAACAATAGTTCAAGAAAGAGAGAGCAGCTGACCGTTGCTGTAGAGAATGCTGCAGCTAACTGCAGCTTCTTGCAGCTCTGGCCAGCTCTAGATTACAGTTACATCAGTCATATTTAGGAATAGAACTTTGTGCAAAATATGTTGGCTGCACCAAAGATCCTGCCGTATATAAGTGAGGTAAACACAGTGTGCTGAGAGGTCTTTTGTTAGGAAGAAAGGTCTGCTTTTCGTTACCTTGTTTGGAAAGCTGAGATATGGAAGGTGTGTGAATGGCATAGTGAAGCTAGCTCAGGTGATGGAACAACAGAATTCCTTGTTCCACTAATTTAAATGTCCTTTCTCAGCAGGGCTAGCTGTACAGTATATAGATGCACCCCGAAGTGTACAATGGATACTTCACTCTTCCTTCACGTATTAATGATTTTCTCTTATAGAAATATGATGTAGAGGTTTTACTCGGTTTACTTAGATTCATGATGTTCAAAATAGGTTGTTTCCTGTTTCTTGCTAGTACCTTACAAAATGTAAACATGTAAGAGCTGTAATCGCTGATACAAATACCCACAGATCACAAGCTGTTTCAGGGGAAAATAAGTGTGAGCATTTTACAGCCGAGAGCAGAAAGAAACTTTAAAAATGGATCAGTTTAAACTGAATTTTCCCATGCATTTACTGTCCCTAATGCCAGAGAGGTTGCTGAAGCATACAAGAACAGTTGCGTTACGTTAAGTGGTATTGCCAAAGAGGCATTACTGTGAACGCAGTCAAGCATAAGCATCTCTAATGTTACTTCTCATGAGGAGGCTGATTTCCTTATGGGTAGATGCAGAGTGTAGCTTGATAGAAGATTTTATGGTGAAGGTTAAAACTCTCTCTCACTCACACACACACACACACACACACACACACACACACACACACACACGGGCTCACATGCTTAGACTGTTGTGACCACTGTGTGAGAGAAAAGGTCCCTTGTCTGCAGTAAAACAGGTCTTGCCTTTAAGCCCTCAAGTCATTAAATTCAACTCCAGTGATTTTGGTAGCAGTTGTATTGATGGCAGGCATTTCCTCCCAGTGGTTTATTTTCTGCTTTCTGAATATGATGATTCTTCGGTTCTTAAAGTCGGACCAATTTCCCCAAATTCTTAAGTGAAGAGCTCAGGGTCCCTCGGGTTTTGGTGACATTTATACAGTTGTGTAGTTTTATTTTATATAGTTAATAGTTAAAATGTCTTCTGCTGAGATGAGCAATGAAGAGTAGAAAATAAAAAAAAAATTTAAAAAAAATCAACATTTTATCAGAATAAGCCAGCAATAAAAGAAGCTGGCTGTATGTAACGTTAATCTGATAGCTAAGCTTGTAGTCATAAAAACCAGCGCAGAATAGCTTATTTGCATGGTAAATAGCCTTTGTTATCTTTGTATTCCTGTACTCTATTAGTTGGTGTGCACTCTGATGTTACCAGCAATCTCCCATAGTTCAATGTTTCTAACTGCCAAACCCAGAAAAGTAAATACTGAGAAAAACATAGCTGCTGAGACCAGAAAGATTTTTGTCATGATCAGACCGTTGAAGGTCCCTTTGAAAGACAAAAGACAACTGAGAAAAGCAAGACTGTTACCACAGTTCAGGGGTCCACCTCATCGCTGAAAAATGTCTCTGTATTATAGGTAATACTGAAACCCATTTTTTCAAAAGAATGGTGAAGAATCACCACAACTGCAATATGCATGGAAAATGAGAGCAGAAATACTAAATTACTTGTTTTGAACTAGCACCTGACTTGTTCAGAGATTGGTTGACCATCAGTTATATGGCATGGGGGTTTTAATCACAAATACCATATCCTCCAACATCCCCTTTACAAGCCATGCTGGTTTCTGAAATGAGCTTATTATGATTATTGCTTTAGGTGACATAAAAATTGCATTTCTGAAAACCATATATGAGTATCAGTGAAGGCCTGTTCTCAAATCAACACTGTTTATAAAGTTAGAATGGTTATTATTTTTTCGGCAGATACTTATTTCCTTTCTGAATTTCACACTGGTACATCTTGCTCTGCAAAATCAACACTTCAGGCAGTAAAGGAGAGCTACTTCCATCAGGAAGAGGCAATCTGGTACCATTTCTATTAAAATAGAATTCATGTATCCAGCTTCAACATTTTATCAGGGTCTTAGTAATTTTCATCGTTTTAGGTTTCACCAACCAAAAAAAAAGTTATCAAACCCCAAATACAATTTCAACATTGGTCAGCCATGTACATAGCCCAGCCTCTTTATAAGCTTGTTCTGCCAGCTGTGCTTCTCAGCCTCAGTCATGTTCTTTCCACTTCACGAGGACCAGACAGTCTTCATAGGCTGTGTTGATAATCCCATCTATCTGTTCTAAAATTACCTGAGCTGCATAACAACTGTGGAAAACCTATATCCTTACAGGAATGGACTGCCCTGCAATAGTTTGTCAGAGTGTGTACAACTCGACTGTATGCTTGCAATTTTCATATTGTTACCAACAGTACCTTTGCAAAACTGACAACATATAAAATTGCATTAGGATACCTAGGTTTGGAGGTAGTGGGGTTATGCATTTTGTAAGCTTATTCTCAGTGTTCACAGAATATGTGGTATTTCAAAACTGAATGCTATTGTGAAACATTGTGAGCATTGTGAACATTTTTCAGTTCCTCAGTATTTAATCTGCTGAGCAGCAACTGTTAAACCAATTTGAAATAGTATACTTGAAAAAACCCCACTATTTGTCAGACTTTGTCTGACCTTAGATCTCCTCAAACTCACTTTATTTGGAGTTCTTAAGGCAGAAAGACTTGCATAATCACACTATAGGTGCACATAGATGTGTTCCTTGATTTTCCATCTCTGTTTCCACCATTAATACAATCTTATTTGAGTATATTTTTAACTCACTGGCTGGTTAGACAGTAAGAAAAGAGGTGAAATATTTGTCCTTCCTTTCAAGATTCCATCAGGCAGCAGCTAAGCAGAGAATTGTTTATAGCCTCAGATTTCATTGCACATGAGAGAATCTGCCTCAGAGAGGGGCACCTTCTGCCAGCATAATTCCCTAATAATATTTTGGATTAGGGACAGAAAATAAACGACAGGCAGCAGTAGACATTCAGACTTCATTAGTCCTAGTGTAGCAATAAATATGTGCTCAACTATCTTTTTATGAAGCTTTTTTTGTGGGCTTAGAGAAACTTGGTGTTTGTAACAGGTTTGGTGAAATTATTGGTAGGATTTAAAGGAGAATTCAGTTTTACAAATTAATAGTTAGTGCATATATGTATATGTGTCTGTAGTTTCTATGTAGATATATGTGATGTATATACTACTGTATGTATCTGTATATATATATATATGAATACTATCATATTCCTGATTTCATAGATAACTTATTCAATTCTTATGATAAACTAGTGTGTTTTGAGGATCATATACTTTGATTTTGAACCACTACAAGTAGTCCAAGAAGAAGCATTTATCAGAGAGGCACGTCTGTAGATAACCCAACGCATAGAAAGGTTTGAGGACATCTATGAAACATTGTGTTCTTTAATTCTTGTCAGTTAAAATCACTTCTTTTAGTTTATTCTTAATTTTCGTAGATCTCCATAGTATTTTCAAATAGAATGTCTGCAGCTTTTTATATACACCTGTGTATGTCATGATGTATCTCCCTGTATCTTTGTTTACTGTTACCTCACTTATTGATGTGCAAGTCAAGTTCAGCTCTCATGACTGCAGAGCCAGAATAATGCTTTAGAAAGAACAGTTTACTTCAAATATGTGTCATGCATAAAATTTACAGAATCTTTACTTTGAAGGTAAATTAATAATACGTACACAGAACCACAAGGCAAAGGTGTTTCAGCAAGGATGTTATAAGAGAGGGATTTTTTTTCCCCCCTTGGAAAACACAGCATGTTGTAACAATAACTAAAGAGGGAAGTTAAATAATTCCAGCTGTGGACATAATCACTTTTCATGTTAGTTTTTCTGTAAACAGGCATTAAATTTGAAAAACTGGAATGTAGTTAAGTTTATTGTTAAGAGCAATCCCATCAATGTGCAATGAAAATGAAGATCTTATTAATTACTTCCCAGTTTTTTTGAAACTAGGAGTATTCAGCAGAGACTTTATGGTCACTTGTCAGCCATACTGTTAGTATTTTGTGGTCATTGTGTCTTCAGACTACAAGTCTATGTTCTCTCTAGGGTGCTCATAGAACAGGTCAGACTGCCTGGCTGCTCTGTACTTCACAGCAGGAGAAAATTGACATTTAATCTCAGACAGTCCTAGGGGGAAGTAACTACTATGTTTATATGAGGAGTCAGCATGACTGAATCAAACAAAGATGAGTGTTCTTCACAGTTGCTGATAGTGGATTTAAAGAGATTGAAGACAAACTGGGAAAAAAGTTGAGAAGCTGTAGCTCTCTGGTAATTCCTCTCTAGACAGGAAGTATTACAGTGTTCACATTTATTTGACAGGGTGGGTTAGCATAGTTCTTGTACCTTCAACATAGATTTTAGAAGGCCTACCGTGCGGTAACTCCAGTGAACAGCTGCTCAGTTTTACCAGTTGGATGCAAAATTCCCTTGGTGATAATTGCCAGTTCTTTCAATGTTCATAATGATGAGTTGTCTTAAGAAAATGGAAACTTCTTATTTACTGACTGTCAGATGATCATATTCTGCTCTTATTTATACCAGTACTGTAAAAATGCAGTTGATTTCAGTCATCCATCTCAAATGTATGTAACAGCAAAAATATTTCACAGGAAGAGGTAATATATACAGTTCTACTTTTCAGAAGATCAGACTGCTGCTAAGGATGCTTCCCAAGAGGAGTCTGAGTCAATTCCAGAGTACACTGCTGAAGAGGAGCGAGAGGACAACAGGTTATGGAGGACAGTGGTTATTGGAGAACAAGAACAGAGAATTGATATGAAAGTCATTGAACCATACAAAAAGGTCATTTCACACGGAGGTAGGAAAAGCTGTAAGCGTTTTCTAAATTGATGTAAAAAATTAATGCTTTATAGATCATGATTTATTCTTATTTTTGTTCTGTTATACGGACAAGGGAAGAGAGAATTTATTTTTCAGTCTTGGCTGAAATCAGCCAGGCTTTCAATTCCATGTGGCAATGACTAGTAAGAATTTCAAATTCAAAGCTATTTTGGAAGCAGCATACTGACATTTATGTGTCAGGAACAATCTGGTCACTGTAGGGTAAAACTGTCTTGAACAAGGAAAAAAGCTTTGGACCTGCAGCAAAATAAAACTTTAAAACCTTTTGTGTGAGGAAGTACAATGCTTCGTGGTTTGCTGAATGAAGGATGTGGTTGCGCAGATCTAAACAAGTAGAGTGGCGAAAGAAAACAGATAGTTTTCCCTGGGGCTTTCATTCATCTGACTACTTGCTTTATTCTATTTTTCTGCCATTTATAGTTGTCAACAGCATTTCACCAGGAACTGGTTTATCGGATTTTTACAGAATTTATTAATAACTATCAAATAACATATCAAAGGAAACAAAGTAGGAAAATGGCCCCATGTGCTTGCTGTATTTTCTCATTTGCTCATCTGCTGTCCAGCTTCCTCAGAGAATTTATGGTTTCAGGGTTACCGGTATACTTCTGTATAAATTAATTCAAATGGGTAAGTCTTACTATAGTTGAAGGAAGAAAATTAAACAAGGCTTTCTAAATGCCTTTTTCCTTGATGTCTCAGGTGATTATCGTTGAATTCTGTATTTTTTTGGAGGCACTCTGTGCTATCTGTTAAGCAAGGTATTAGATTGTGTTGTTTTATTCCTGCAAAAACTGAGGCAGGCAATATAGCATCTCAGAGGTAAGATTTATGAGTTTGTATTAGGATGCTTTTGTCACAGTGTTGTTGATCTACAGCATCACTTAAAGATACTAAAATATTAAAGTTAAAATATTTTCAGTGTTGAGCCTCCATCTGGTAAAATTACATAAATGAATTATGGTTAATTTTTACATTAAAAGCAGCTAAATGCTAGCCTACAGGTATTCATGGTGGCCAGGGTTTAACCAGAAGGTTTAACCAGAATTAATAAAGATGTTTAGGCCTGCAAGCATTTTTCTACTACAACACTACTGTCAAAGATTTATGAATATGATGACACCTCAGACACAGTTTAGCAAACATACACAGATGGCTTAATTTAGGAAACAAACACAAAATATTTTTGGGCCTTGCTAATGTTGTTTATTTATATATTTTTGTATGCTGTAAACTAGTCAAAATACATTTGCAGTAAAAGCTTGTATATTTCCTAAAGAATGTTGAAGTTTATAATGGCTTTTGTGAAAAATCAGTGTTTAATGTAATTAGGTAATTCGCCTCAACTCTGAGTATGCAATAATTTGAATTCAAATTTTACACGTCTGATATTTTGTTAGATCACTCAAATGTAAGATGAAGAGCATTTCGTTTTCTTTACTTTTGAAAGATGTCAATACCATTATTCATTGTAAAACAAACAGTGTAAAATATAATGATAGGCTTCAGCCTGCTGCTGCCTAAACTGGAATTTTTTGCTGATATCTAGGCAAATCAAAGTAAATTAAGGACTGGATTAAGTTCTCCATTTATGAAGTGCCAGATTGAAGACAAGGAGACAAAATCATTTTGTTGTGTCTACTATGGAAAACTAAAGTTTCTACATTATGGCAGCAAGGCCCATTCCATATGAAGTTCCCTTTGGCAATAATTCAGTGGAGTGTTTAGAGGGCCAGGAGTCTTCTTCAGTCTCAAAATTAATACTAGGTTCTGACTAAAATTAGGCAATAGGAAGTCAAGTCAAGCATTTCTTGATGATTCAAAGATCTACTGAACATTTCTCCCTTCCAAATGACAGATAACAGCAAATGCAGAATCTAGGTGGCATTTCCCTAAAAATAGGAAAGGGAAGAGTAGATTTGGCAGTGTAGGTTTGAGATTGTCTTTAACATATGCTGATGGAGAAATTTCTTAGATATTTTTTTTTTTTCTTAGACTAAGTGAGATTTTGGGCAAACGGCTTTTACTGGCTTTCAGTGATAAATTAAAATACTTGTCCCTAGGGTGAACATTCCTTCTCTTCAAGCATGTGTGAGAAAAAGTGGCTTAGATTTATCTGTGGATTTTTCTTCTGTGTGTTGTTAGCATCTGCACATAATTGTTTTGCTTTCCATGAACTGCAGACTGTGTTGTGTAATTTAGTGGATGCACCTGCCATAATGTGTTCTTACTGCCAAGTTCCTGTGCCAGCTGGACTGATTGCTTTATGGCAGCATGATATAAAATATTTTAAATTTTTATTAAATTTATGGAAGGAAGGAAGGAAATGTTCTCCCTATTTCCCTATTTGTAAACCTGAGGGGGAGAGAAATACTGCTTTTTCCTGTTGTTGTTTTGTTGAAACCCAGCTGGCAACCAAGCCCCACGCACTCACTCACTCCCACATGGTGAATCAGAAGAGTGAGTAAAGTCTTGGGTTGAGATAAGGACAGTTTAATACATAAAGCAAAATCTGTGCACACAAGCAAAGCAAAACAAGGAATTAATTCACTAGTTCCCAAGGACAGGCAGGTATTCAGCTATTTCTAGGAGACCAGGTCCTCATCACACAGTGACTTGGGAAGATAAAGGCCATCATTCCAAATGTCCCCTCCTACTTCCTTCTTCCCCTCCTGAGCATGATGCCATATGGTCTGGAATATCACTGTGGTCAGCTGGGGTCAGCTGTCTTGGCTTGTCTTCCCCCTTCCAAGTTCTTGAGCATCCGTAGCCTGCTCTCTGAGTGGTGGGGGGCAGTATGAGAAGCAGAAGAGGCCTTGGTGCTTAGTGAAACTGCTCAGCAATAACAAAAACATCTCTATATTATCAACTATCGAATTTCAATGCAAATCAAAATTACAGCCCCATACTCGCCACTCTGAACAAAATTAACTCTGTGCCAGCCAAAACCAGCCCAATTCCAAATAATCTAGCTGAATGATAGTATGTGCTGAAAACAGGACTGGAGTTCCATAAGCAGTTTAGTTAGGCTTGGATATTGCTCTCTACTATCCAGAAAGCACTATAAAAATCTTAAAATCTCCTTCTGGAAAGATTGCTCAAGTGTTAGTATTATCCTTCATTTTTTGTCATGAAAACATGTTCCTGAGGGGAATTGAAGTTTCCTTCACAGATACTATCATCTCTCCCTCAGTGCCAGTTTTTTCTAAACCCAATGGGTTTCTGAGTGTTCTCTGAGTACATCTGTCTCTGCATCACTAGTGCTATCTACCTACAACCATTCTACAGCATCTTCATAAATTCCCTCCTAACTGCATGTATCCTTTAAACAAAACTATCAATTGAAATGCAGGAGTATTTTTTATGTATTATTAATGATAAATACAGAAAATCCATAGCAGCTGCAAAGGTTTCTGGAGAAGATTAACCAACATTAATCCATCACGAAAAAGAAACATTTTCTTTTGGGTAACAAGCAACTGTGCTGGGCTCTGGAATGGTAGTGCTACAGCTTTGAAGATTAATAGCTATCATTGGGCAGTGATGCAGCCCAGAGAATGCCAGTATTGGACAACTGGAGTATCCAAGATTAAAATGTAATTTATACCAAACTTGCAGCAAAGAATTTAATTGATCCCCAGGAGCTTTTAAGGGATAGTGGAGTGCAGTAATAATTGTAATGTTCTAAAGCCATTGGAGCTTCACAGGCCAACTCCAAGATTTTGTGAAGCATAATTCAGCAATGCAGGACAGCAAACCTAGGATATATTCTTTAGCCCCTTCTTCCTCAGTCTGAGATGAGCATTCAGTACATGGTTCCATAGAGCTGCAATGAACCAGAAGTAAAGCCTTAGAAGGTTGTCTTGCTGGTCACTATAAAAAGTTTGCTAGTAGCTGTGCCATGTCTAGTTTTTGAGGATTTAGCTTAGCTGACTATCCTTCCTTATCACTTCATGATAGTTCATACATTTTCAAACTTTTGGTATGAAGCACTTTTGTATGCTTCAGCAGTAGACATAGCAGCTTTATTACAGGACTTTGAGGTTTTGCTTTTTTTTAATTTACCCTGTTTAAGCCTCTGACAAAGGTAAAAATGCGTTTTCATTTTTTTTCCACAGGATACTATGGTGATGGTCTGAATGCTATCATTGTGTTTGCGGCATGCTTCTTGCCAGACAGCAGTCGAACTGATTACAACTATGTCATGGAAAATCTTTTCCTGTGAGTGATATGTGAGCAATGTGACAGGGTCTTTTGAGTCAGTACTCAAAATTATGCAGTGAGAGGTAACCTCTCTTTGCTTAAGAGGTAATTTTGGTTGTTAGAAGGGAAGTGACAAGGAAGATAGCAGTTTTGGATAAACTGCTCAGTGCAGTATGATTTTGTTATCTTTCTTTCCTTCCCAAATTGAGGTGTATTTGTCATGACCAAACTTGACTGTTAGTATCTCTCTAAATGTCAAGGAATGCAATATCTTCACCTTTTTGGGGCTACAGTCTTTGCACTATTTCACTAGTGATTTCCAGATTGCTCAGAAAAATCAGCAGGGGCTTAGACAATTTTTCACTGTTCATTGTTTATTATATGCACCCCTGAATGTATTTTTAATATATGCTGTCTTGGGTTTAGGAGTTACAGGGCCTTTTCTTGACAACTGTTTTTTAAAAACAGGATAAATGGCAATTGCTGACACAAGCAGCTCTAACTGTGCTTCCTGACTCCAGCTGCTTCTGATGCAGCTAGAAGTGGCAGGGGCTAGTTAGGTAGGACACAAATTTGGCAACATAACCCCAAGTCTATCACAGGAAAATTATTTCTACTAGCCATTGGTTTGACAGCCCAAAATTTTGAAGGCAGCACTCTCCTGAACTGGTATCAGCTACTTCCTCTTACACCTGTTAAAAACTCAATCATTCCAATGTTTTCTGTGCTAAAACACAGTAAGTATTTCCTAAAGCCAGCAGGAGACCTGGCTTTTGCCATTTGCAGCTTACAAGGCACTGACCCACGTCTCTTTAATATTCCAGTCTGTGAAGATGCACTTGTTGGCAGCCAGTGCCTTTAACATTGTCTCTACGTGTGAAAATCAAGACTCGGTTCTAGTTTCTCATCACAGCAACTGATATCATTTGCCTGGTAGAGCCTCTAAGAACAAAATGTCACCTACAGTAACTGATACACACAATGCCCAGTGATTTAGAAGAGAGGAAGGAGTTGCTACAGTGGTTTTAGCTTGATAAGTAAGGAACAAAGCTGACTGTAACCATGACTGACATTCAATAGTTGTTCTTTGTCTTCACCCAAGACCTTTGTTCAGATGGAGCTGGTGATAAAATAACTCTGCAGAGAAGGCCTTAAGAGCATTTTCCATATGGCTTAAGGATATTGCTGGAGTCAATTTTATAATTTTTTTTTTATTCATTTTTTCTGGAGTGTTGGCTGCGAACTTGCAGCTTATTTTAAGGCTTGTAGACAGTTGGCTCTTTCTAAGAGAATAAGAAAAAGGAGTAAGTTCACCTTTTTCTTTCCATTCTAGGTCTGTTAATTTCACGGAAATAGAGGGAGGGCAACAGTTTACTAAATATACAGTAACTGGCATATTTAAATATTCGGTAATTCTTTACTATTGAATTATATAGGGATCTGGAGAGACCTGCAAACCATTGAATCTCTTTTTTGATACAGAATGTTTCTGGTAGCATATAAGCTACCTCTAGTTTCTGATTAACAATTGTCCTCAATTGTTCCTTTCCTGTCTGAATTCCTTTCACATTTCCAATTACCTTCTTCCTATATTTTATATTGACTAATTCTGTAAAATTGTCTTTGAAGGGTTGAATTTGGGTGAAAATGCTTGAAACAGCTTATACAGCAGTTTTTGTAGATAATGCAGAACCACATAAAAAAACCCTACTGTTTAATTTGTGGCTGCCTGAAAGTCAGATTAAAGTCAGTCCACAGATTAAATTTTTTTAAATAATCTCAATTAGAAAAAGTACACTTTGAAAACAAAACCAGCACTTTGCTTTCTGAGTGATTCAGTTGTTCTAGTCAATGAGAAAATTTCTGTCCATCTTTTTAAATAATGAAAAAATTGCCATTATTACCAAATAATAAGAAATTATTACATAGGTAAGGTTTACAAGGGAGCTGAGCATCCTAAAAATGGAAAATTATCTAATTCAACATACATTGCATAAGAGCTGTTGAATGAAAGTATGTGAGATTAGTGAGATATGAATAAAAAACTAGCAAAGATTCCTTTTTGTCATGATAGGCCTCTTAATTCTGATGAGAAATTGGCATAATTTTTCTTACTATAACAAATTAATTCATAATAGGCACAATTCCCTTCAGAGTTAATAAACAAACATTCTTCAGACTGTCATGTTCCATAAATGAAAGACTTGTAGTACTTTAATATGCACTTACACAGTTCTGTGTGTTTCAGTGTTTAAGTGCCTTTGAAGCACTAGATGTTCTGCCCTGTGGGAAGGGCTAATCTTATAACCTGTCAAATAGTAGCTTTGTTAAAGTAGCTATTAAATAAACTTTATGCATCAGAATGTCCATGCAATCCCTTGCTTTCCTATATCACCATCATATATTAGACATAAACCTTCACAAATGTCAGGCAAAAGCAGGGAATGCACATCTGCAAAGAAAGAATGAGCTGTGGAATGCACTGAGGGAGTAGAGATTTGGAGGGGATTTACCAAATGCATGGAACTGGTCTAGGTAATGGCTGCCTACTTTAGCCCAGGTAAAATACCACTCTCTGTTGAGAACTAGATTTCCTAAAATTCTTTGAAAGACATTGCCTAAGGAATTTAAGGGTCAGATTAGATTGTGAGGCATGCCCATACAACTCTGAAAGGAGCCATTATGCTTAGGGATAGAGCTGCCTTTTGTAGTGAGTGCACTCAGGCATTCAGGTTTTTAAGGTGTGACTTGTGGTTTTGCCTTTGAGTTTTTACACAGGCATGCCTTGAGGCTGGCTAGTAGAGAGAACAGTTTGAACATTCTGATAATGATCAGCTCCCAAATGAGGTAGAAACTTCTGTGTGGACTATCTGCATAGATAGTCCTAAACAAGAATTTAAAACTATCCTCTTATTTGAATGAATAGTGTGCTTTTCTAGGTAGGATGCATTTGGCCCCAAGAGCACTGTCTGATAATGAGTTTTGGGAGTGTCTTGCTGGAAAAATGAAGTGATGTCAGGAATTGTCTGTCCCATCAGTCAAGTTGATTGACAGGTTTCCTTGGGTCTGAGTGTCGAAGTATTTGTATTTTGCAGTCACAGACTCTGTAGCCAGAGTGTGAGGCAGAGTTGATCACAAGAAGAATAAACAAGTATCTTCTGACACTTTTTATTGTTGTATTGATCAAACTTGGTGATTAGAATAGTGAATAGAAGTTTCTCAAGAGTTATTTCAGAAGTTTCTAGGACTTGATGCAGTGTTCTCCCTTACAAAATCTTCTGATTTAATCCCTTTTTAAGAAGCAGCAAATTCACCACTTATACTTGAAGACTCACTAAACTAAACTCTTACTTTTGTAAGGAAACCACATATTTTTGAAGACACGTGTAGGACTGTGATTTTCTAGCTGTGTATCTGCAGGTACCATGGTGATTAGTGCTAAGTGTTTCCTTTTGTTTAAAGGAAGAGAAAAGCCTGTATTGTCATAAAGTGTTCAGTCTGCCTTCATTTATTCCTAGTAGCCTGATTTAGTTGGGGCTCAATCAGATAGTGTACAATATATGTTCACTGACACCTGTACTTTTATCAGGTATGTAATCAGTACCTTAGAGCTGATGGTAGCTGAAGACTATATGATTGTCTACTTGAATGGAGCAACACCAAGAAGAAGGATGCCTGGACTGGGTTGGATGAAAAAATGTTATCAGATGATTGATCGACGGTGAGTAGTATTTTCCTGTCTGATCCACAGCCATTATTTTGAACAGTGTCCTGTTTCTGTAACTCACCTACCTGCATGCCAAGGTTTACTGTATATGATCTTTCTTTATCTTTTGAGTTTTTTTCTGTTTTTCAAAGAAACTATTGCTTTTTTACTTAGATTACGGAAGAATTTGAAATCATTTATAATTGTTCATCCATCATGGTTTATCAGGACAATTCTGGCTGTGACACGACCTTTTATAAGGTATGTAGTAAATACCAGTGATTTTCTATGTCCCTGAAATACATAAGCACCCTAAATCATCAAACATGGCTGTTAATCTTTCACTGAATAGAGCTCATTTTATAGATCATGTTGGGATTTTGGAAGTTGAATTTCACTTCCCTAAGGTGAACTGCAGGAATAAAGTGATTTATATAAGTATCTAGTTGCAGAAATCATAGGCATGGTTTTGTAATCCTGTATGTGTATGCCCTGGGAATTCAGTTCCTTAAAGTAGTCTTTGTTCACAACCCAGATAAAAGACATACAGAAAAGGGAACTGCATGTAATTATAATCACCTTATTTAAAAAACTCTGGCTACCAAACCAGATTAGGCTACAGTTCTGGGTTTTTAACATATCATTGCTGCTCATAGGTCATATAAGAGGACTACCTCCATCCTGAGGTGTTTAAATCCATTTGGGTTCAAAAAAGGTTTAATGCTGTAGAAAATAATGGTTTGATTAGTTAAAAAAAGAAAAAAAAAATTACCAGCTATAAAGACCACAGACTTACTGTGGAAGATAGGCAAGTATGCAGCTGAAATCCTGAGATCAGGGAGAGCAGAGTGGCAGGTATAAAAAAGAGTTTCTTCAGGCAGGACAAGAAGCTTCACCTACAGAAGCCACACAGATGGTTATGACAGTTCTCAGGGAGTTCTGCTCACAGACCTCAGGTGAAGACACTGGAGATCTCTTGTTATAGGGTGCTCTGTCCTGATAGGGTGACAATGGGATGGGGAAGCACATGAGTTGTCCCATTGCTGCCAAAGTGCAACAGGCAGAATGTCGTAAGAGATGCTCCTTTCTCCATGTGGTATCTTAAAGAGCAAGTTGAAAGTAACAATTTAGAATACCAGAGTGAAAGGGAAACAGTACTTGGAATTATTACCAGTAGTTACGAGGATTCACTGAGTTGTGTTTGATATCTGAGATATTTCTGTTGCCATCCTATTTGCTCCCAGAAGTGGTCTTTTTTAAAGTCACGTCAATTTCAATTCATTAGTCATTTATTCAAAATGACCATACTAAGCAGCAGTGATTAGAGGTTTTTCATTGACATACAAGAGAAAATGTTCACTCTAAATGGTTTGGCAAAGCAGATTAGCAGTACCAAGCTAGACACACTAAGTTACCACCTCAGCCAAATAGATTGAGTCTTGATGCATGAAGAATGCGAAGTGCAAACTCAAACTGAAAAAGGTGGGTAGGACACATGGCTAGTGTGATTTTTTTTTTGGAGGATGACATGAAATATTTGGACCCTTACCAAGGACAGGAGAACATTATGAGTTCCCTTCCCTTTCTTCAGATAAGGAGATAAAAACTTGATTAGATTGAAGACCAATGACAATAGCTAGTTTGCTAGCCCACAGCTGTTCCCCAAACCCCTGACAGGCACAGTGGGAATTTTAGAGTGAGAAATTTAATAGGCACAAGGCAAGCAGAGATATCAGTGAGATAGCTAAAAGCAAGCAATATAATTTTAATTGTGTATCCGCTGAGATGTGGGACTAAAAAGTAGAAATCAAAAACCTGAAAGACAACAAAATGGTGAGGGGCAATCAAGTCACTGAGGGTAGGCTACCCTCAATTCTATCTCAGCTCTTTGTTCTACCTCAAAAACTAGCAGGAGTATTCAGTGGAATGTGGAATCTATCTTGACTGAAAAATCATTTTTTCAATATATAGAATGAAAGAACTAGAGGTAGCAGAGATAGTTCTTAGCTATTCTGTTAGAACCCTTATAGATAATCACTCCAAAAATAATTTGAGCTGTGTTAGGTAAGAAATTAGATTTCTAAGGGGTTTTTTAAGAGTCTGTGAAACATATTTGGCATTTGACTGAAATATTTAAATGATGGGAAGTTACCACTACTGGCAGCTTACTTTCCCTAGAAGTCTGAAAGAAAGTGTGTCTGGGATGCCCATATACTCCCACATGAAGGAATTACTTAGAAATCAGTCACTGCAGTGGAATTGGTGGACCCAGAAGAATCCTCAGGAGGAAAAGTTACCCATTGAAAGATTTTTTTAGTGCCTTCCCACCTTTAGAGGCTTATGTTTGGCTTGCAGTTTGCCAGGTTACTTTAAATGGCAATGCTGATGCTTCAGACTGTGATGAACAGTTTGGATAAAATGCTAAGAACCTGTATGTTGTGTATAAAATGTGTATGAATCTGTATATGTGCTTTGACTGGACATTCGTGGGTGATTCTTGGATCTAAAACGTAAATCTAAATCAGACCATTGGTCTGATCCAGTGTGTGTGTGTCTAGTTATGCTGATTGGGTACAGAAACAATTTACAATGAATGAGCTTAAAGAACTGTTCACAGCACCTTCACGTGTTCCTGCTCCAGTTATCTCACTTTGCGTTATTGGGAAGATACGTGTGTTGAGGGGAGGGACAGCAACCTTTGCTCAGGGCTATTTCAGATGCTCCATGTCTGGCTGTACCTACTGGTCAGCAGTAAATAGGAAGAATATGTTCTGGTTTTCAAGACCTAGACTTAACATATATGGTCAATATGAGTTTGCCACTATTACTGATGTTAAAAGATGATCTAAATACAGCCACAGTTAAATTTAAAAAATTTAAAAGCCAAATGATAAAGATAGATAGATAGATTTTTCATAACCTCACACTTACCAAATAACTTAGGTCAGGCAAATAAATAGCCTTATGTTTTAAGTGTGTTTTCTGAACAATTTAGCCTTTTTTCCAAATGATCATTCTACAAGCACAATAAATGAATCATGTAGCACAGCTGAAATAAACAATTATTTTGTCATAAAAGGTCCATGCAGTAAGAATAGACACAATCAGATCTGTGCTCTTCTGAATAAATTACGAAATTCAGCTTTATTGTGTTTGATTGAGAACTGATGTAAAATAGAAATGCTAAGTCATCACATTCCCTTGATAACTGTCATGATGATTATATCCATGTCAAGTAATGCTTCCCATCAAGGATTTGATTATTTTCCAAATTTTCACACATCTCCTTGAAACTGTAAAACTAACCACATTGTCTATTACATAGGCATTACAATTTAAGATGTTGGGTAAGTAATGTGATTCAGCCTAGAGAAGGAGCAATAAAAGGTGTAGGCTTGATTTCAGTCTCACTACAACTCAGGTAGGCTCATGATCAGCTGAATTGTGTGTTAAGATACGGTTATTAAAATTATTAGAGAGATGTCTCTGTCCAAATTCAGGTGCAGACAAGACCATATGCTGAAGTAAATAGCACAGACTTTTATTTAGTAGTAAATGTGAGAGAGAGATAGAAAGAAATAAAGTGAGTGTGAGGAGAGGAGAATGAGCTTGCCAAACACAGGCAGACTAAGTAGAAATAATATCATCACTCTATGATCTTGATGTCATCCTGTTGGTCCTCTTCTCCTGGTGATCTTGGTGATGAAGGTTCCAATCTTGTCAAAGTTATGGTCACTGTCTTTATTGAGTAGGGGAAGCCCACAAAACAGAGTCCACTGCATTTACATTCACTCAAGTTCAGGTGGGAATGGCCAGGCACCTTGCCTTCTAAGATGTTACAGCTGCCTCTTTCTTATATCAGTAAAGCTGAGTTGTTTATGTTCCACCAGTTACATCAGGGCTGAATACCTTCAAGGCTCTATGTGAAAGTCCTGGTTCTTTCCTAGAGGGAAGTTTTGGCACCTGAGCCATTGTGCAAGAGAGGACTGGCATGATAAAATGTGCTATCCCACTTCACAGGACGTGCCTCTTACCAGCCTTCTGTAGCTGTGGCAGGTGGATTGAGTCATTAATTATTAGCAGTCCTGTCTCTCAGTCTGTAATTGAAATACAAATATCCAAATGCTTAATTATTTAATACATTTAATACATTTCTTCATTTGGTTTTAGCATGTTATAAAAGACAGGGAGGGAAAGTCAATTAATACCTTTTTTTCCTGTGTTTCAGCTCTAAGTTCAGCAGTAAGATACAGTATGTCAACACGCTGGCAGAGCTTCATGAGATGATTCCAATGGAATATGTGCATATACCAGACAGTATTGTCAAGTAAGTGATGTACAGCAGTATGTATTTGTTCTAATGGAAACTACTTCCACAAACTAATAATAGTGTTAAAGACTGTAAGACGAATAGAAAGCACTTTCCTAATGTTCTTAAAAATGATTATGTGTTGTTCCACAAACATGTCACTGTCAAACTGGGAAGCAGGAGACCACTGTGGAATGGAAGCACAAACCACAATAAATATTTACTTCTAGAGGAGTGAGAAAATTGTTTGGCCTTTCCTGAGGTATCATCTAGGCTGTATTTTTTCATAACTTTTATCTCTGTTTAAGTGGAAGTGTTTTCAGATTTTAGTTGTGCAAGGCTCTTAACAGAGGCATTAATTAAAAGACAGCCTATTCAATAGAAGACCAGTAAAACTCCATAGGTTCCTTGCCTTGTCAGTTTTTGTGGTTAAATCCACAATCCCTGAAAGACAGTTTCTCAGTTCTTGGTGCTTATGTGAAGAAGTTTTTCAAATGCAGGCATTTCCAAAGGAAAATACCTGTTAAAAAATGGTGGGAAGTTGATTGGCATTGTTTTCCTCAAATGACTTTTTTTCAGACTTGAAAACAACGAAAAGAAATGGTATACTAAGACTGAAAGCATGACTGGAAAAGATAATGTTTTTTATGTAGTTGTTATTACGTTCTGTTCAGAAATTTAATTTTTTTTAATTGTTCTCTTTAGCAAATGTTCCAGGTTTTGAACAGCCTGTTCTAGAAGGTAGTTTGAAGAGTAGATACGCAAGTATAATTGTATTTTCATTATGACTGATCAGTGACAGCTTTTGAAGTTGTCATAGATCTTCTCAGCCCAGGCAGGAGTTTTCAGACCTGTTTTACAGTAGTCATAAAGCAATTTCCTTTGTCAAGCTGGTGGTGCAGTTCCAGGGAGGAAGTGGGAAGCTCAGGTCTGGATATAGCAGTAAGTTGCAATTGTGAAATCAGGGGTCATAGAGACTTTCACTCAGCTTCATTTGCTGCTGTAACTCCTTTAGAGGTATGCTAAGAATGTTCTAACATCCCTAACAAATGTTCCTCTGATTCCTGTAAACATTTTAGTTTCTTACAGTTGACTTTGATAGAAACCTTACCATGATACTCAGAGTTTCTATCTGTTTCTTTGCTATGTCATACTGTTACACAGTGGCACATCGGTGTTACACATGTTTTTTCTTCCCTATAAACTTAAGGCTGTTTGAAAAGTCCATTCACCTCTCAGACCAAAGATGAAACAATCACAGCACTAGTACCAAAGAAACATTAGTACTTACAGAGTTTTAGGGTAATGCCTACTTCACGTCATCAGCAGCCGGATGAGAGATCATGATTTTGCTGAAAAAGACAGAACTGGAAAGATGACAATTGCACCCATTGGTGGCAAGCATTTCAAGATGTTGTAATAACAAGATTTAGTGGCTGTGTGCATTCAAAGCATCTGTGAGTGCCTATTCCCATACCACAGGGAGAAGTGCAGTGTTCAGTTCATAGCTTCCCTACTGCTGCAAATTCAGAGAGATTCGTATAGAAAAATACAACTCATTTTTTTGCCTTCATAATTACTTAATTTCCAAGAGCAAGCATACCACCTATGGTCAAGAAAAATCCCACCTTTAGAAAATACATGTTATGCCAGAATTTGGGTTATGTGTTTATTTAAGTAGTTTTCAGAGAAGCACAATACAATATGATTGTTGTACCATATGAACTTGTACATCTTTTCTCTTCTTTCATCCACTCTCATCTTGTAAGGTATGATGAAGAGAAGTGTATTAAAAGAAGAATGAGGTAAAACTTGCTTTCTAGCCCATGCTGTTGCTCATAATGGAGTGAATCTGTGTGACAGCCTTTCACCTGCAGGCGACCTCAACAGCTGAATGAGAGAGGACTTGCAATGATGTGGCATCTTACTTTCCCCTTCAGGCTGTTGAGATCAGCTTCCCTTGCAAATAAAACTCACTGAACTGTAAATGTCCTTGACTTGGCACAGGCTGCAGCTAGTTTAACATTATCTGATAGAGCAAGTGAATGCTTTCAGCTCTGTCCACTGGGCATGCCTCAGACCCCTGCTGCTTCTCAGTCTGTGCCTCTAAGTGAGCTAAATAAGGACTTTACAAATTTAAGGTGGGTTCAGCACAAGAATAAATGGTATCTTACTTAACTGAAGAGCTTTTAAAGTCAGCCCTAAATCATACAGGGTGTCTATGTTAAAAGCATGTACTGTACTTGTTCTTTGCTCTGCTATTGCTCTGCTTCACTCTTATGCTCTGCTTGCTTCTCTGTTTCTTTATATCAATAACTTTTACTCATGCAGACTGGATGAAGAACTGAGGGAAGCTTCAGAAGCAGCTAAGTAAGATAGCTTTCAGCTGGATGCTGGCATTATATTGTTTCACAGGAATAGCTGGAATGCAGTAGTACATTGTGTTTGGTACAGCAGTCAGCTTGTAGTTTCAATTACTGTGAAGTTGCCCCATTTGTGAATTGACTTCCCCTCTCACTGCTTTTGTACTGCTGTGTCTCAGTAATAAATAGTTATACCCTTACATTATAAAAAAAAAAAATTTGCTGTTTCTTGATGATTGTAGTCATGGGAATGACTGAAATCACATACTCCATTAAAATGGGTCATTAAACATTTTCTTTCCCTTTTATGTCAGTTGATTTATACAGCTTTTAAGAGGTAGTTATTTCTAAGATTTTTTACAGTTCACTAAATTATGGTTAGCTATCTCAGTTAAGGTAGGTGTATAAATTCTTCTGTCTTTCCAATATTAGCTGAATATGCTGAGAAATTAATACTTGATAATAATATTATATTGCCTATGGTTATTTAATAAACCAGTGGCAGGTGATGATCAGATACTTTAAAGTGATAACTCTGTGCTTTGACTTGAATATAATGTGGTAGTATAGTGTAGAGTATCAAAGAAATCCTTAAGAAGTGCACAATACTTGATTCACTGAGCACAGCTTTAGAAACTCTACTGTGCACTTTCCTTATGTGAGTATTGTACACAGAATTCCTGTGCTGGTTCTAGTACAAGATTCTCTCATGCAGTTTTTGTAACTAAAGATTTTGAGTTTTGTAGTTTCTTTCCAGTCACCTTCCTTTTGCTTATGCACTTCATAATTTTCAACTTACAGCTTCTTCTTTGCTGTATTTTTTCTAAAAGTTCCTTCTTTTGCAGTACACATTTTCCTTCAGTCCTTCTGAGGTTAGTTTCCAAAATTACCACAGAGAAATATCTAAAATGCTAGCCACTGCTTTTTGATTCTAGCAGTTAACACTGCCTCAGAAGCAATAAATTCACATATGTAGTTACCTGATGCCACCTGACTATTTTGTTAAACAAAAAGGCTTACCCAGCCTTGAAATACAACTTCTGTCCCTTTTGTTCAGCATTTTCAAATGCATTGTATATGTGACAATGAGTGGAAGAAAGCTGCTTTCTTGTTACTCCATTTAAAATAGTAGAGGCTGCAGTGTAGCAAGTGAAAGGGGAACAAAATATTCATATGAGGCACCACTGATTATTGTTACTGTTGGATGTATGAGATCACTGTAGTGCATTTCCCTACCCCAACTTAAAGAAATAGCTTTAAAATTTGTTACTCAGACTAATGTGTGTTGTGGGCACGAAGATCCCTACATTCCTAAAAACAACATTTGTGTGTTCGTACTGTCAAAGATACTCACTACAGTTAGTTATTACATCCCCAAATTCGATGTCATATTTTAAAAGAGTAAGAAATCAACACAGAAAAAATGTTTACTTATCTTTTTCCTTGTATCCAGAACTAGCTGCCTCTCAAATGATCCAGAAATGGCTTCAGTGGAGCAGGAGTAAGAATTTATGCCTAATACTGTCATTACATTTTAACATTATTTTACAACCATGTTGCTAGGAACTGAGGCTGGGCAGACTCCTTAAAACTTTTTTGAGAAGTAAATGGCAATATTCAGGAACAACATGTACAAGCAGACAAAGCATTGACACTTTATTATATTTATATTTTATATACTTTATATATGTGTTATA